TGTAATTCTTAATTATATATGATTATCATTTATTCCTAATAAACTTTCTCTACAACAATCATTACTCTTGCATAAATTGTTTAAACAATCATTGAGTTTAAACAATCTCATGATGGTACTCATTTACTACTATTGACGTTCCCTTGAACATGTTAAAAATCTTATTACTCTTTCTATTAATTAAAACATGCCTAGTAGACATCATCGTATTAAAAATTTTAACAGGAAATGATATAGTTGAATATTAACTATCTCTTACCCCTTAAATGGATAAATCCATTAATATAAGTTTTAACTATGCACAATTATGATTTATTTTTTGTACATTCTCTTTGTAAATTTTCTCTGCAATAATCATTTTACTTATATAAATTGTTTAAATGATCTCATGATGGTGCTCATTTTTATTGTATAAATGTCTTCCCTAATTATAAGTCTGATATGTAGTTATGCGTACATCAATGCAGGATTATTTGATTCCTCATTACAATATTCCCTAATTATAAGTCTGATATGTAGTTATGCGTACATCAATGTAGGATTATTTGATTCCTCATCACAATAGGATTTTTTTCTTTTTTCAGATGTTATCACCAAGAAGCAATATACAGATCAGTTGTGTGATTTTGCAAACAATAAATGAAAGGAAAGTTGAGCTCAAAATCCCAAACTTTATATACTACTTATAATTTGATTTAGCTAGCTCGCTTTGATTTCAAGGCCATATATGTTCAATAATCAACTATTTTTTTTTTAGAAATAGAATTTATTTATTTACTGGAAACCGTCCAGCAGCGATTGATAAGAAAAGATACAGCCAGAATAACACAACTTACAATTGGTCATAATCATAGTGCCTTTGTTGTGTTTTATATAGATAAACATATATAGATCTACCCTATCAAGCAGTGGTTGTATCACGTGCCGAAACAAAGATACAACACTAAAAATCAGTTGAAACTCCCAATCATAGATCTAACAACTAAATCTTTGATGACTGAATCTTTTAAAGCCATACGAGCGAACTCTAACAAACCCGCCGCCGTACCTGCAAACATCACCGACAAAAATGTCGACATACCAACGAACATCACCAGGGAAGTCGCCGCCATACCATCGAACATCCATAAGGAAGTCACCGCCATACCTTACTAGTAGAGGAGATTATAATCTCACTTATTGAAAATAAATTAAACAACAATAAAAGGTGTAAAGCTCGGAATAGAATTATCTCCCCCATTCTTCCATGGTGGAAAGATGGGGGAAAAGATGGAGTTTTTTTTAGTTTTAGGGTTTTGGGGTTGGAGAGGGAGAGAGGGGCGGCCGACCTAATAGAATTTGTGTGTGAAAAACATTACTATTTAAAAAAGAAGAATTTTCCTCTGTCAAAAATTTAATCAATTATCAACAATTTTGTGACAGAGAATTCGTCTCGATTATCAATCAATTGCATTCGTTTTTGGCCGCAAAACTATCAGGCAATGAGCTGGATGACTAGCCGCTACGCTGATATCAAAACAATAGGACCAAACTAAGGATGACTAGCAATTTTTGCATGCACTTAACTTGAATCAAGAATTGAAGTATATAAGATGCAGTAGGGTGAGACTTAAGGCTGCTGAAGATGGAAATAATAGCGCGAGAAGGGAAGGATTTGGGGACACATCAATTGAGCTAGCTAGCTCAAGGAGAATTCTGTGAAATGGAAGGATTTGGCTAAGGAAGACCAAAATAGGTATGATCAAAGCTAATATGAAACTTATATATTACTCCCTCCGTCCCAAAATTATTGTCCAGTTTGGACCTCATTTTTAGTACAATTTGAACTAAAAATGAAAACTCAAACAGGACAATAATTATGGGACAGAGGGAGTATAATTAAAAAAGAAAAAAGGATACAACATATTTTTTTTAAATTTTTTTTGATACACTATGTTGTTCAAAGTCATGCTTCTGACAGAGTAATCACACCATGGAAATAGTATTAAATTGTTAATTGTTATTGCATTTCCCCGAGCCAAATTGTGCCATACAAATACGAGGCTGATTAATATACTATGTGGAATTTAATGGAGGAAGTATATTTTATTTGACTTATTTTAAAAACTCACTTGATTGTATGGTCCAAATTCAAAAAAGTTAATTATGTAAGTGGAATAAGGAGGGGGTTTGGTGGGGCGGGGTTTTGGTGGGGGAAGGATCGGAGTAGCATGTACACAAACTACGAGTTGAACTGGTGTTGATTTTCGTTCTTACCCAGTGCAATCAAAAATCCAAAGCGGCAATAATTTATTTATGTGTAACAAAATAGCCACCTACTTCATGCCTTGGCCATTTCAAAAAAAATAATAATAATAACAAAAAATACTTCATGCCTTGATTCGTCGGCCAAATCGATAATGATTTGTCCCGAACAACCTCAAGTTTTTACATATTGATGGATGGTACGTAAAATTCTTTACAATTTTGGATAGTGAAAAGGTTCTTCTCCGGAGGAAGTACATTGCTTTGACTAAAAAATTTAATAATGCTTGAGTTCCTACTTATTAATCTGTTTGTGTGAAAATTGTGCACCCAAAACCGTGGGAAAAAGGAGAACATAAATCACCCAAAACACAATTAAATTAGACGATTGTGGTTGAGTTTGAATCGGCCTCGAACCAGAATCGAGGACTTAGGTTATTGACTTTAGTTTGAAAAAGACAGGTAAAAATTAGAGAAATTGGGAAATAACCGAAGAGACGACTTTGACTCATAAAGTAGAAAATCCTAGCGGCGGCAAGTTATAGATGGTGCCGATGACACGCTATTACATAGAAAACAAAGATATTAGCGCCGACTAGACCTTGTCGATGACACGCTATGACACAGAAAACAGAGACAGGACGGACGTGCAGAGGGGACTCCGACTCGCATAAGTGTTAGAACACCCATTAGAAAATAACCGAATTCATTGAAGTAGAAAACGGTGAACACCTACCTAATTCTATGTAGAAGAAAAAGCCAAACAACTCTACCATAGGGAAGGTAAAAACATGATAAACGGTAAAAGAAATAATAAAGGACAAGGAAAACCAGTTGTATGGTTGATCGGTGATGATTTTCTTTTCATGGCTGCCTCTATTTATAGTGCTTGGACGAAATCGTTGCTACCCTCTAATTCCTTGGAGAAAAAGGTAACTAAACATGGTCAATTTTCTTGAAAATAGGTAATTATTCCCACAGCAGTCTTCCAATCGGTTGATGACTTTTCTCACAATCAACTCTTAATTTGGTAATAGAATCCTTTCCCAAATATATCTTATTAATTACTGATAATTTTCCTTATTAAAAAAGCAAGAAATAAGGAGGAATCTCCCTTATTTACCAATTAATCACGCAACTAATTTTGGAGCAATTCTATCCACTCGGCTTCTACTTTCCTTTTTCAATTCTGAATCAGTTTACACTCAATCAGTCCATATTGACCCCAAACATATTTTGGCCCCTTTTTAGACAATTTTAGAGCCTTAAAATCTCAACAATTATCACATAAATTTATCAAAACTCATGAGCTATTAACAACATCAATCGTCGGCCCGAATAGTAAAAAACTGGCCGAAAATAATCATTCATTAATCAATATATATTAGCTACAGAGCCCGCCAAGAAGAAACTAAATTTCGAAAATCCTTTTTTGTTAATAGTCTTTTTGGGTTAAGATACAAGGAAATGATAAGGTAGGTGATCAAGGAATATTATTTCATTCCGTTAAAATGATTCATTGAAATGAGACGGAATAATGAGTAATTAATCTAAATTCATATGTGTTGCGTATTCGTGCAATCAAACAAAGATCAAATGACCCGAAATTTCGTTCCACATTTTATAGGAACCAGAGCAAAATCAGTAAGGAATTTGATAACAGAACAAAGGATTAGGAATACAGCATATCACCACCGTAACATATCATTAACAAAAATAAAAATGCAATTACGTACGTACATGTACATATACGTAAAATCCTAGTAAGAAGTCCAACTGCCCCTTAATTATACTACAAATCCCAGCCAAGAAGAATAGTCTATACTCGCAGTAAATATTTGGAGGAGAATCACACTGCATATTATTTTCTATTTCTAAAAGTTTACGGACAAAACCAAATCGATAAACAGTCAAGAATCCCTAAGCTCCTATTGTAATATCAAAATCTGTAATAATTAGATTTTAACGTAGTCATATATCCAGAACAAAATTGTTAGTTAGTAATATAAGGATCGAATTTTATTTGGAATGAATAAGAGAACTTTTCAGTATAAATTTATAAATGTTGTATAAGACTTACGTGGGGATTTTATTTTTTAATGGAAGAAAAGGACAAATATCCTTAAAGATTATAGAGACTTTAACTACTATGGATCACTATAAAAATGCGTTCGAAAAAGGTTCAAAGTTTAATTAAATCATCGGCCGGCCATTTCTGAAATTTACACTTCTTGAGGACGCATGCTTTTTTGCTCAGGTAGACAAATTATTCTTGTACACACTCCACTTGCTTGAGTGAATTATTGAGTGATTACGTACGCTTAAAAAACACATTTCGATCAATAATAATTAAATTATAGGGTTGACATTTTAAGCATTTTTTGAATTATAAAACTTTATCCAATAATTCTTGTTTTGTGAGCTTTTATCATCACCGTTCATTGGCCAGCCGAAACTGAAAATAAACTTCACCAGTCCGTCCCATAATTATTATTCAGTTTGAATTTTTATTTCTAGTTGCGACTAATCCGTCCCTCCGACTAATCCGTTGGTCAACCCCGGTCACACACCTGGCTGTCAAATTGCGACAAACTCAATGTATAAGCCGATCAAATCTTTTCTAACATTTTTTTTAAAAAACAAAAACTATATTTTTAATTTGAACTAGCAAAAAAGAAAAGAAAAAGAAAAAAAGCCCGTCAACGCATTTGGGAAGAAGCTCAAGACCTCAAGTACCATAATCTCTTTAAACACATGCGAAAGCATTTTGTTTCTTCATTCTTCCCTCCGTTCATGAACCTTGCAGGTAAGTATTCTTTCCTTCTTCGTTTTTTTTTTTTATTTGCTTGAGTAAATTGAGTTGCACTATCCCTGTTCTAAAAGTAGCAAGTATATATCGTCCCTTTTTTTTCTTAATATTTTTGCCAAAAAAAACAAAAGAAATCATATTTGTTTAGTGATTGATATCGTTGATAAGTGATTTATTTTCAGAGAATTAGAACACAAAGAGGGCTGGAGGGGAGCCTACTTATCCAAGTTACCGCTTAAGAAATTAAACTGGCCATGAGAGTTAGTGATTCAAATGGATCCCCAAATCCAACCAGGCTTGAGGTCAGTATGTTGTTTACTAATCTAGCTAGAACTTTTACCTAAATAATTTGTTACTGCCGTAAATTTTATTCAACTTTTTTTACAGGGTAAAATAACTGCTCTGGTGGTGTGTTGGGTTTTGGGTTTGGGATCCCTTCTTGCTTGGAACACTTTACTCACTATTGGAGACTATTACTATGAGTTGTTCCCTGTGAGTCTTTCTGACATTCTTGATCAACTCTTCTTCATGAATTTTTTTAATTTCTTTTTTTTTTTTGAAAGCTTTAAAAATGTATTAACCGCGCATATATACTACTAGTTCGATAATTTTATCTTACTTTATGAGATGAAATCATTAAAAAATCATTATAATAATCTTCAAATTTTCGTGGAACGTAATTATCGGCAATGTTGTTTTTTATCCATTTGTATAATTGGACCATCATCTTGGGGTAAATTCAACGTTTCTCTTTTTATCATTATTCATTGTTTCGCAAAAATCTTGACCATTTGGTTTTTTAATATTCTTTCCTTTATTAGCGGTATCATCCTGCGAGGGTGCTCACTCTAATTTACCAGCCACTTGGACTTGTAACAATGATTATACTTACCAGTCAAGAAGCAAAAATTGACACAAGGAAGCGCAACTTGGCTGGTTATACCCTTTTCTTCCTTTCCACATTTGGACTCTTACTTGTAAGTTTTTCTCTATAATACTCCCTTCGTTCCAGAAAAATAATCCACATTGAGTTTTGAGTTTTGTACTATTTTTAGTACAAATTTGAAAACTCAATTTAGACTATTTTTTTGGGACAGAGATAGTATCATATACTTTTCTGTCCCAAAACGGAAAAAAAAAAGTACTATTTCCTGAGTAAACAAATGCATTGAATAATTTTTATTTTTGTTTTTGGAACGAGAGAGAGAAATTAATTTATACTCTTTAAATAGGTCTCTTGATTAAATATTTTACTTTTAACTGCAGTTAGATATTGGGACGTCGGGAAAAGGTGGAACTGGAAGTTATGTAGCTATATGTATTCTAGTTGCTGGCTATGGCATTGCTGATTCTCTTGCTTCAGGTGGAATGGTTGGAGATCTATCTTTTATGTGCCCGGAATTTATCCAAGTAATTAAAATAATTTCCTTGCAAACTCATAAATTACCTCATAAATTACCTTTTTGTGTTACATTTATATACTAGCTAGTTTAAACACTTACACGTAAGTTCGTGATCAAACTTCAAACTTCTGATTGATGTGGTAATTCTGGCTTTTCATTTGCAGTCATTCTTTGCTGGTCTTGCTGCCTCAGGGGCTTTGACATCTGGTTTAAGATTGATGACAAAAGCTGCCTTTGAAAAATCACATAACGGTCTTCGCAAAGGCGCTAGTATGTTTCCATCTTTATCTTTTTAGATTTTTTTTTTGGTTACATTTTCACTTCTTAGATTGACTTTGATGTTTAAATATGGCGTGATGAATAAATGAGCTAGTTTGAACACATGTTGTAATACTAATAAGAAAAAAATTAGGGCTGATAAACAATAAATCTACTCAAAAAATAGTTCATATCGAATTTTTGATTATTTTTTTTGGGATAGAGAAAGTACTAAAAAGTGACCGGAGGGCGGGATGAGAGTACAAGAAAGTGTAAAAATCATATAACCTGCACATATGAATCATTGGTGTAATTTATTTATTTATTTTGCAGTTATGTTTCTTGCCATCTCCACACTCATCGAGTTTCTCTGCGTTTTATTATATAAATATGTCTTCCCTAAGCTACCAATTGTGAAGCATTTCCGTTCAAAGGCTGCATTAGAGGGATCAAAAACAGTTAAAACTGACCTCGTAGTTGCTGGAATCCATAAATTGGTGAGTGATTGTATACCTTTTATATTCAGCTAAAATAAATATAATTGCTACTATACATCTTGATGAAATGATGGGATTTTCTTATTCTTCACTTCACTAAAGGTTGATGATGAAACCCAAATGGAAAGGCTAAGTACCAAACAATTGTTGTGGCAAAACATCGATTACGCATTGGATTTATTCCTGGTGTATGGCCTAACTTTCTCAATTATACCCGGATTTTTGTACGAGAATACTGGGTCTCACAAGTTAGGATCCTGGTAAGTTTCATTAATTAATTAGGGTTTTTTCTTAAGATTATTTGTTTTAGTCAAAAGATAAAGGCTAATTTTATGAATGTTAATTTGTTACAGGTATCCTCTGGTTTTGATAACAATGTACAACGTTTTCAATTTTATCTCGAGATACATCCCTCTTATCGAATGCTTGAAGATAAAGAATCGAAAAATTCTCATGTTAGTAGTACTATCTCGCCTCTTCCTCATCCCGGCATTCTATTTCACTGCAAAATATGGTGATCAAGGATGGATGATAATGCTCACTTCCTTAGTAGGGCTAACAAATGGTTATCTCACTGTCTGTGTTTTTACCGCAGCTCCGAAGGGTTATAAGGTTAGTAAAATTGTAACTTGGCTAATAATTCAACTATATATCTTAGTCTCAATTCTCCGAGCACAAGACTATATATGTGAAATTCATGTTTCAAATTGCAGGGACCAGAGCAAAATGCACTAGGAAATTTGTTGTTTTTGTTCCTTGATGGAGGATTAACTTCAGGTGTGGCATTGGATTGGTTATGGCTTATTGGAAATGGAATATTTTAGACTAGATATAGTGTAAAACAACATGCTATATATATATATATATATATATATATATATATATATATATAGCGGCTTCATTACCACATTATCTGATAAATGAAGTAGTCAAAACTCAAATTGAGACTATAATAATAAGGAAAGAAATAAAGTGAGTCGAGCTGTCTAGGTTCCGACCGGGAGAGATTAGATCTGTCGATTTTTATATATGTCATTGTTCATTTGTATATTGAAAAAGAAGACCCATCTGTATAGGAATGGAATGCATTTAATTCCTACACATATTAAAAGGCATGTCGTTTGACTAGTTCTTCGCTTTTGATTTTTGGATTAACAATAGTGGATCTTAATAAAATCAAACTTATATTTTCTCTATGCCAAAAGTGATAGCTAGTATTATTAAATCTTAACTTGACAGGCCCTTTTAACCGATAATTTTTTACTAATTTCTCTTGCAGTCACTCTTCGTAGGTACTGCTACCTATATAGCTTTAACATCTGGCTTTATCGGATCAAACTGGATTTCCAATTGAGTGTTAGGTTTTAGGTGCTAACTGCTAAGTAATGAATAAAAAATTAAAAATAAATATGAAATTTGTAGCATCATTACATTAAGGTTGAGCGAGAAAGAGTAGCAAAAGTCTATAATTTAGCATATTAATTAGCATGCTCCTATGTAGTTTTGGATTGCGGTTATATTAATTGTATCAATCAAATTGCCCTTTCATCCAAAAAGCACTCAATAGTCTTTTGGCGGATCAAACTCTTCATATGTATAGTTTGTTGTCCTATATATACCAGAAAAATTAATTATTGTCCTAAAGTTTTGTAGATGTAAAGTTTTGATAATATCGTAACAAAATCACACCCCTGGGGGATTAAAAAGCTCCTTGGAATATATTAATCCAACAAATTAATTCAAAACTTTTAGTCCGGGTACATGAAAACATGAATGCTAGTAATTAAAAGTGGTGAGGGACAGAATTCCAAAGAATTGCCAACAATTTGCAAACAATAATATATTGTACTCTTCTCTCATCTAATTTACGCACAAACTTTTTCTTTAATTTTTTTTTACTTTAATTTTTTTGCTTAATTTTTACATTCTCTTAATTACATATTGCGTTGATTAAATCTGATTAACATCTAAAATGAATTTGTACTAATAGGTCGTATATGATTAAAAAAAGTAAGTTACAAGTTTTGTGAATTATAATTATATTAATGATTAATAAATTCTAATCATAAAATGGTCATATATATACATATATTTATCTGAATCATTCAATTTGAATATATCTTTCTTATATCATAATTTTGATACTCATCATGTGTTTGTGTACATGCATCGCTATAAGTCTCACTGGATATATAGCAAAAAAGAAAAAGAAGAAAAAGATTAATTAAAACGATTAAATTTTGCTCATATCCCAAATAAATTAAGTAACAAACTCAACTACGCAACATCAACAACACAAGTAAATATACTCCAAAGCTAAACCAATAAATCTTCTCAATTGTTCTTGATCTGAGGCACATCGGCGGCAGCGGCAACAGAATTGCCGGTGGGAGGCGGAGGTGGACTGACCGGCCGGTGCTTGCGGCAACTCTCTTCAAGTTGCTTGAATTTTTCGCAGCCGGAATCGGCCAACTTGGACAGGTTTGGGAGTTGATAGTTTTGCGCAGCATAGGCTCCATAGGCACAGCCGGCGGCAATGGCCACAAAAGTCCCGAACATTCCCATGATCAAAATTAAAAATTGAGCTTTTTGATTCTGGCTTGGAAGAAAAGAAAAGGGCTAATTAGATGGAGAAACTGATTTGGGGGGGTTTTTTTTTTTTTTGCTGTTTGCGAAGAATGGTGAAAGCTTGAATATGAAAAATTGTGGGATCATATCATCATATAAATAGTCCGATTTCGGTTGTCTTATCCTCCAAGACTTAATTTTTATTTTTTAAGGAAATAATTATTTCTATTTATTTATCAGCTCAATCATCAGTTTCCCCCTTCTCCAAGAAGGGGTCCGTGAGTTTAGTATACCCATATTTTAGTTAGTAGAAAAAAGTGTTCTTAGGGTTGGAGGGGTAGCAATTTATGAGTTTCTCGCATTCGGGATATGCGAAGAAACTGATGTTCGCATTTACCATATGCGAACAATCTTACGTAATTAATTAGTTAAACTTAAACAAATAATAAAGACAAATGAGATAATTCGAAGTGGGCCATCACCCAAAGTTCGCATATGCCGAATGCGAAAATAATAACCTGAATAAATTAAAGCGGAAAGAGAAAGGAAAGAGGAAAGTGTGGGCCATCACCCGGAGTTCGCATATGCCGAATGCGAAAATAATAACCTGAATAAATTAAAGCGGAAAGAGAAAGGAAAGAGGAAAGTGTGGGCCATCATAAGACTTTCACATTCAACGAATGCGAACAGAAAAATATAGGTAAAAAAAACGAAATTATCTTTTTATCCTATTAAAATCGACCGTCAATAGCGTATCGACACGTGGCGATTCTTGACAATTTGGATAAATGTTCGCATTTGGCGAATGCGAATGTGATGGCTAGACTCATAATTTAAAACTCATCACCCCAATTCGGCGAACTAAAATCATCAATTCTTCTTGCATTCGGTTGAAATTTTCATTCCGGTGGAAGAGGCGGAGCTGGAAAGAGGCATTTTCATATTGAAGGTTGGAAGGTTGGACTGCACGGAGCAAGACAGAGGCAACCCATTTAGGTAAGTTTTTTTTCTCTATGAAATTTGTAAAATTTATACATTCTATTGTCATTTGGGGCTATTAATCTTGTTGTAGTGTACGAAATTACTAAATTTATTAATTTCGGTAGTTATTGAGAATTGGTTTTAGAAAATTTGCTTCAATAAATATATATTTGATGTAGAATGAAGAATAAAAATTATTTTTATAATGTGAATTGTTGAATTTTGTTAAATATTATGAGTTATTTTATTAATTTAGAGAATAACCCGGTTGATCTCGAATTTTTTGGTCTTTATTCATCAATTTTGTGAATTTTATATTCTGACCCAATTATTTGTAATGTTATTGATTTGACCCTGTTTTATTTGTTTTTATTTTGTTAATTTTGTATTTTATCAAATATATTGTGTAAATCTAAATTTATTAGTTTGATCAAAAATTGTTATTCTTTTAATTGAAAACCTTGTTATATAGATGTCGAATTATATTTTTTGAATAATTAAATTATGTTAGAGATTTTTCACTAAAGATAGGACTTATTGTTAGTTTTTGGAGTAAATTATGCTAGTGAGGTAGAATATTGTTATAACAAGCATGAATTGATGTATTTGTATGTTTAATTGAATAAAAATTAAATGTGCAGCCCTTAATATGTCTTTTCCGGGTCCCTTCGATCCGAATATATTCGGTCTAGTGATCGATCATGTTGGGGATATGGGAGAAGTTATTTACGCCCGATGCAACAGTTCGACGATCAAGTGTGGAGTTTCTCGAACTTGATAATTATGTACACAGTTGTTAGAATCGAGAACCAACAAATATTTCCTCTACAATATGTTTTAGTCTGCACGGATGAGTACGGCAAAGGGCAAGCGCCCATAAGAGACGACAAGTCAATGTCATGGATTTACCGAGGTGCCCATTTGCGTCCAAAGATTGTACGTAGAGGTTGCAGATGAACCTGTTCAAGATGTTGGGGAAGGAACTACTGGTGGTCAGTATGATGGTGCAGGGAGTAGTGGTGTTGGTGGTACCAATGAAGATGACGATGACACAGAAGATGACGTACATGGGAACAGTGACGAGGAGTATGTGCCGTCCGATGAGTCTGATGATGATTACAGTGACCATGACGCATCTTCAGTAGTAATTTCTATTTTTGATGACATCAGTGACATGGACAAGTCTGAACTGGTTGAGGATTCTGATGGGATCACAATGTGGGACGGTAATTGGCAGACGGTTAGACATGGTGTACATTTTGCTAACAAGAAAGAGGTACAAACAGCCGTGGGGGAATGGACATTGCGACAGGGTCGGGCATGTCGGGTAAAATATAGCCGTCCCTATACGTGGGCCGAATGCGAGACGAAAGGGCCGAAGTACCCAGAAGAACTTCTCCACGGCACTACTTGCTTGTGGAAATGTCGAGCTACCCTGCAAAAAGACACAAATACTTGGAGAATGGTGGTATGGGTCGAGAGCCACAACTGTCTTGGTGCAACCACAAGAAACGAAGGTCGTAACTTGACATCCACAATGATTGCTCGATTGATCACAGCCAATGTCCGAAAAGATCCAGGTTATTCATCGCACGATCCAAGTCGAAGTAAATAAGAGATACGTGGTCACCCCCAATTACAAAAAGGCATGGCATGGTCGAAGAAAAGCACTTGAGAGTCTCGTATGGCACATGGGAAAACAACTTTCAACAACCGCCGATTTTGGAAGCATTGCTCAAAGCGAACCCAGATACCCGTATGCGTTTAAGTTCACTAAAGATACCAAGAATCGGAAGAAGAAGGTGTGCAGTACATTTTTTGGGCATTTGGGCCAGCTATACATTTATTTAGAGCTGCTTGGCCGGTCATAACCGTCGACGCCACCCACCTCCGAGGTTCATACAAAGCAACATTGATCGTGGCATGTGTGAAGTGCTCGAATAACACAATTGTTCCCATCGCGTTTGCTCTCGTGGATAAAGAGACATTACACAGCTGGAAATGGTTCCTTAAATACCTGAAAACATTTGTTCTACTTGACAAGGAGACATGCATTTATCGCCATACAGGTATTCTTGCTGCTATGGATGTTATGCTTGATAAATATCCAGGGATGGGAGTGCACCGTTATTGTCTGCAGCACATCAAAGCAAATTTAGCTGGCAATTTTCCTGGGCAGAAACTCAAAAGACCTTGTCAAAGGGCTTGTTCAATGTTGCAAAAAGGGAAGTTTGAAAAAGAATGGATGAATTTTGAAAGTAAAAATAGAGATGCAGCCATATATCTTCAGCAAATCGGTCTTGAGAAGTGTACCCGTTATTGGGACGGGGGATATCGTTGGGGAGAAATGACTTCGAACATATCCGAGAGTTTTAATAATGTCTTAAAAGGTTGCCGGATGCTCCCTATCACTGCTTTGATTCTTGCCACATTGTATAAGACTAACAAGTTGTTTCAGGAAAACATTGATGAAATTGACAAATGCCATTCACCCCTCGCGACGAATCCCATGAAACGGTATGAGGATTACCGTATACATCAGATGGGT